AGGAGAACTCTCAGGACTTGTTGAGGAATCCAAATTTGTTTCAAGTCTACAAAAGTCTTTAATCTTTGTGAAAAAACATACAGAAAAATTGAGCATGTAGATCTAGGTAAGTTTTATAGGCTATTGAAGTTTTTGTAGGCAAACAGTTTTTCTAATGCAGATTGTTTCCTCAAAGCAAGCAGGTTTTCTGAAACAGACTGTGTTTGGTTGTGCAATAGCTCCATCCAGTTGTCAGAGGAAAAGCCCAGCAGTCCTGAGAGAAATTCAACAGGATTTCGGAGTCAGAAGGCAACAGGCAAACAGTGTCTGACCTCACACCAACCATTCTACAGTCTCAAGGTTAAGAGCTGTCTCACACAACCAATGACCTCAGAAACCACTCATCATAGAAAACTCTCTGTAAAGTGTTCCTGTGTTTAGAACTGAAAATCAAAACAAGACTACCTCTTTTAGTCACCTTTTCAGAATAAAAAGCATTTGATAAGTTATTTTTCTCTTATTCTTTCTATGGAAAATAAAAACAGAAGGTGAAAGGTTAAAAGGTTGTGTAGGTGATTTACCTGATTTTATATGATGTTTTTTAATCGAGGTAACATTCATTTATAACTCTATGATTCTGAGGTATAGGAGCACACCTCTTCAGATGTGTTACCACACTATACCCACCACCAAGGCACCCTTTACAATGAATGCCACATTGCAGACAGGAGGGAAACAGAGGTGAGATGAACCTTGACTGGAATATTAATAGGCTTCAGAGAGATTACATATCAGATCAGTCTGAAAGAATATGTGAGATTCTAACTGCAGCAGTTGAGAGAACACCTTTTTAAAGCAGGATGTTATAGAGGGAATCATCAGTGTGGCATAGAAGGCATTTAGTCACTTATTTTCAGGTGTGTACACTGAAATCTAAGGCCTTGAGGACAGAGCCTGGGTCTCAAGTGTCCAAAAATAAACCCCTTCCAACTTCATCAAGCTTTTTCCCTTTGTAAGATTTTAGAGAGCTTTGTAAACTAGAAAGGACTGTCCTGTGGCAATTGGTGGGTCTTGGGAAATTTGAGTAGGGGCATTATTGTGTTTGTATGTTAGACTCACCGGGCAATAGTATAAAGGAATTGGTGTGGGGCAAGAATTTATTGGGGTAAACAGTTTAGGCAATCTCAGTGATACAGGGTCATTGTAGAAAACTATCTTCAAGCTTCCAGAATTATTACCCTCAACACAAGTAGAATTTGACCCCCCTCCATCTTAAAAACCCTTCATAGTTTTCCTTTTCGTATACATTTAATGTCCTAATGACAGTACTCCAGTTCCTTCATAATGTGATTCTGTCAAGTAAATTTTATCCTCCTGATACTACCTTCACATACTCTGGTTAAAATCAGTAAGTAAATCAGTAAAGTCAGTAAAAATGCCATGGATTTGTGCCCCTGTGTTTTTGAGGGTAATTGACCTTAGAAGTTTGTTATTTCTACTGTTGCATTCATTTCATTTTCTCATGTAGGATAGTGAAAATGTTTGAGGGCCAGATGGTGACTTATTCATCCATGCTCCTCCATACCTTTTAGCCTACGGTTTTACATATTGTTGGCATTTGGCAAATATTTGTTGAGAAAAATTGAACTGGAATAAGCAGTACTTATATCTGGATTCGACATTTTTAGAGTACCAGAAGTCATAAATAAAAAGAGCCATCCATTTAATGACATTCAAATGTAAAACATTTTTTTTAAAGCTGAAAGAAAAAAGTAGAAAAATAGAACATGTATCACAGAGACAGCTTCCTTAATACACCAACCATTGTAAAATTGAGCAAAGCAAATAAATGCCGATTCCATGTTTCATTTATCAATTGATAAGAAAATGTTTTAGTCAGTCAGAGTGATGGTGTGAGGAGAAACACAGATTTTGCTTATGGAGCATAAACTGTTCTTCCTAGGAGAGTGATTTAAAATGTAAAAACCTTAACCTAGAAATTCCATTCTTAGAAATGTTTCATATAGACAAAAACAGAGAGTCACAGAGATGCTTGTTTCTAACAGCTCCACATCAGTGAGAGACCCACTCAGTGAAGGTTTATCTATAGTGAAAAACTGCAGCATTTAAAAAGAAATAGAATAGAGCCCTCCCTGGTGGCACAACAGGTTAGGACGCAACACTGCAAGCTATCACAGCTGTTTCAGTGCTAGTTCGATCCCTGGTACCAGAGGTGATCCACATGGCGTGGCAGACCTTTCTTGACCCACCCGCTGCTCCCCTCAGCAGTGTACTTCATTGATCTGCCTGTGTTTGATTTTAAGTCACCCCTCCCTAAACACATATATACATTTGTTGATCATTTATTACACAGTAGAAGAGCACTGTGGATATAACTGTGAGCGATATTGCTTGGGTCTTCCAGGGGCTTTCACACTGGTGGTGATTCCCAAAAGGTTGTTCATAGTACTCAACTGCTCTCCATGCTCCCTCATCACATGGGGAATCTGTAATGAGTTGCTTCCTACAAGAATGAGATGTATACCAATACATAAAGAAGTCTTCTACATATTATTAGTTGATAATTGATACTAAAGACTTAATATCAAAGATTTTCCACAACATCTACTAACATTGTGACAATTAGTTTACCAGGTCACTTCACTTCTCTCAAAGTAAAATCTAAGAGAAATACAATAGTGGCAAAGTTAACAGTGGTAATGAAAAAATTGGGCTTCTACTCCTCCAAAGTGGGGCAATGAGATCTTGAACAGCCTGGTTACAGAAGCATATAATCGGGGACTCGCTGGTGTTGCAACAAGTTAGGACACAGCACTATGAAGCTATCTCCAGCTGCTGCAACACCCAAGTTCAAATCCTAGTCAGGGAGGTGACCCACATGGCACAGCAGACCTGTGTGGCCTGCTGCTCCCCTCAGCAGTGTATTTCAGTTATATGCCTGTTCTGCTTCTTTCTCTGTCTCTGATGAGTCCTTCTACTGTCCCATCACCCACACCTCTGACCTGTGCCCCAGTTCTTGTATGCATAAATAAATCTTTTAAAAGAAGCATATACTCATGTTATCAGGGCTTGTGTAAAGATGCAAATAAACAGGGAATTACCAAACACAATTTAGAATATGGCCTTGATTAGGCAACATTATAATACGTTAAGGGTTTCCTAATTAGAAAACCCCACTTAGTTGGTCATCCAAAGTACTTCACCGAAAGCACTTCAGAGACCAGTCATCAAAATACTATGGCATAAGTACAAAGCTTCTGTATCAAAATAGAGTAGTGCTGGCATTTACCATGGTAAATGGAATGAATTTTAAGTCCAGAAAAAAATTCTCATATGTTCCATCTATTGACTTGCAACAAGGGTGCCAAGACCATTCACAGGGAAAGCACAGTCTTTTCAACAAAATTTGCTGAGACAACTGGATAGTCACAGGTGAAAGAATGAACTTGAACTCCCACTTCATACCATATACAAAAATTAACTCAAAACGGACCAAGAAAATATGAGTTAAAAACATAAACTCTTAAAAGTCAACAGGTATAAGTCTATGTGACCCTCAGTTAAGAACACCTTTACTTAGATGACACCAAAAACAAAAGGAAAAAGAAATTGTATTTTATCAAAATTACCAACTTTTGTGAAGTGAAAATGCAACCCACATAAATCCGAGAAATATTCTGCCAAACATATATCTGAAAAGAGACTTCTATGGAGTATATATAAGGTATACAGATAACTCAGTAACAGGCAATCCAATTTTAAAACAGGCGAAAGGTCAAAATATTTCTCCAAAGAGGACATAAAACGGCCAATATGCACATAAAAAGATGTTCAATATCATTAGCCACCAGGGAAACACAAATTAAAACCAGAAAGAGATACCGATTCATATCCAGTAGGTTGGCAATAGTCAAAGGCAGAATTAAAGAGAATGTACAGAAATCAAAGCTCTCATATTGTCAAATCAAGAACTGTCACTTTGGGTAGTAGCTTGCTAATTCAAGAGGTTCAACACAGTTGCCATATTGGAGAAATTCAATTCCTAATTACACATATCTAGGAAAAATGACTGCCCCCCTCACACACAAATTGCTCACACGTTGTTTAAGACAGGATGGCTCACAGTAGTCAAAAAAGTGGAAACTGCATAAATACCTATGAACTGATGAATAAATAAAATGTGGTTTGTCCATACCATGGAATGTTATTCAGTGATTAAAATGAATAAAACACACAACAGTGTGAATGAATCTCTTACAAAACATTGGGCTATCCAGTCACAAAATGCCATTTATACAAATGTCAGAATAAGGCATTCCAGAGGCAGAAAGTAGTTACCAGAGTTTGAGGAGGCAAGAAGGGTAGAGTGAAGAAACTGAGAATACACTCTAACATCAGTTGTGGTCATAGCTTCCTAACTTACCAACATACTAAAAACCATTATATTCCATACTTTAAATAATGATTTATATAGTATATGAACTATTAATTAAGTTGCTATTGTTTTTTAAATGAGACAAATAGCTATTGGATGAATGTTGATATTGGCATACACATTTAAAGGGCTAATATTAAAATGCCAAAACCTTCAACAAATATGCTTCAAAATACTGAAATGTTTCTTATATAGTATATTAAGTTTTCATCAGGTCCTATTGTAATCATTTTTAAAGCACTGCTGAACTAACTCATCTTATATTCAAATAGAATCAAATTAAGCTTTTTGAGAGTTTAAAAACATCTGAGTTGGGTTTTGGACTATAACCTATTACATGGAGACTAAGGTCAGTGAAAATTACAATTTTTTTTGTTTTATGAATACAGAACTGGCGAACTGGGGTACAGGCAAGAGGTAATGAGAAGATTCACCAGAGACAGAATGGGAAGCAAAACAGAAAGACTGACGAAGTACACTGATGAAGGGGGCAGCAGGCAAGGCAGGAGAGGTCTGCCGTGCCATGTGGGTCACCTCCCTGGCCAGGGATTATACACATGCAGAAGTGGCTGTGGCTAGCTTCACAGTTCTGTGCTTTAACACATTGCACCACCAGGGAGGGCCCTGGAAAAATATTCTTGATAGATGATCAGATTAAGGAAGGTATACAAGTTACTCATTTTCATTATAAGTATATGTTAAATTTTACTAAATAATATCTTCTATAAAACTATTCTGTACATGAAACAACTTAAAATGGCAGTATGAGAACTGCTACACAATATTCCCTGTCACTGTAATGAGTATTCTTTTTGTATCATAAAATGAAGTTCTACTCTCATGTCAGGATTGAGTTCACCACACCCTAATTTGGTATCTTGCAGATAAAATCAATACTACTTGTAAGAGAATCACTTTCTTTCTTACTACTATGGTTTAAGAACTGAGTTGTTATCTAGTATCTCTGAATTTCAGTCATAGGTTCCTTTAAACTTTTCCTTAAAGAACACCAGCTCTTTTGCAGAATACTTACTTAAGATAACATTACTAGATTTCCTGAGTAGTTAATGTACTAACCTTATTGGAACTAAAAAGCTGAATAGTAATGGAAAGTTTAGAAATGAGTCTGGGATTTTTTTTTTTTTTTTTTAGTCTGGGATTTACCTTCCCAAATCCCTATCACTCCTCCACACACTTAGAACTTGGGAGGAAAAGTCTACAGGCTAAGTCCACATCTGGTTCACACTTTCCTTCCATCCCATCGTTGTTTACAACATTCCCCCATTTTTGGAAACAAAGCCTTCCTCTCATCTCTAATAAGTTTGTTACTTGTTCATATCTTCCTTTTCTTTTGAAACCCAGCAGAAAAGCTCAGCCCTTCATGTAGCCTATAACACTCAGCTCAACTCTTCATGTAGCCTGTCAAACACTCCCTTACCTCCAGGAAGTAATGTAAACTGAGTAGCACAGCACAGTCAGCAGAAGCATATTACCATTATGGTACTGAGAACAAACATAAAAGCCACAGGCTAACTTTGTCTCCCCCTGAAAAGTTTATGCTAAGGTCTTAGATTACATTAATTATTTATTAAAATATTCATGTTCTTTTAAATTATATAAACAATTTCAATGCAAACATTCAGTAGGGCATCTTTCCCATTGCTCCCAAAATTTCGCTTCTTTCCACTGCTGTAGGCATAGGTGGCTTCACTCCATTCTGTCTTCTCTGGAGCATGACAGAATTCTACAAGTCAGTTTAAAAAAAAAAAAGGGAAAAGAAGTCATGTATTAATGTCAATCACATGCTAGCAATTTTCTACTGCTTCCTCAAAAAGGCAATTCTAAAAACAAACCAAGTTCTAAAAATTTTTAAAAAGAAATTAATTCTAGGGCCCCAGTTGTTTTCCAAATATTAACAATTAAATAGACCTAACCAATCCTATAGGAATAGAAATATGCTAAAAGTAACTGGGATGGACATGCACTGCTTGAACACCAAAGTAGAAGAGGATAGCCCATCAATAATACCAGCAGTTAATTTAGCAGAAGAAAAGGAAATAATCATATGGTATATAACATTTTGACCAGTGACAGACATCATGCATGACAGATGTCCCAAAATTCCTATCACCTAATGATGGCATAGCCATCCCAAGAATGTAATGTTTTATGTAGCCACAGCCTCATACAACTTATGTTTACTGTGTCTCTTGGCAGCATCATTTTCCCTTGAGCTTGATTTAATCTCCTATTGATTTGTTCATCATGGTCCATAAATGTATAAAATCCATTGCTAATGTTATGTTCATACAACTAAATTGCCTAGAGACACATTTCTCTGAACATATCCCCATCGTTAAGTGATGCATGACTGCAGTTAGATCCAGTGCTCAGAGAAGCAGAAATTACATACCAATGGCTCAAGAAAAATGGGACCATTTTAGCTACCATGGCTGGCAATGATAGATGGGGAAGCCTAATATGCATTACCATAGAACAAATTATTCTGTTCCTCTCCAAGAAAACTAAAATCACAACAAAGTTACTGCTTTTATAGCTGAAGATTCTTATATGCTTAGGCAGGTACTTATATACACCTGTATTAGGACTGCATTATATATTGAGTCAGATGAAGCAGCCAACAAGGTCTCTCAAGGATTATTTAGCTCAAAAAGCACACCTGGATAAGTCAAAAAGTTTCCTACGGCTCTCATTTAAGTCAAGACTATGGATGCTGATTAATTCGAAACTTCAGTTTCAAACTTAAGGGATACAAAAAGCTAATGAAGTTAGGCTTACCCAAAATTTTCGGCAGTTTTTGTACTTCAAGAAGTAAGCAGAACACCGTTCTCTGTCATAGTTATTTTCATCCATACATCTGGTAGAAGCATCTGATTCCTTAAATAGGTAAGATAAGCATCATTTAAGAGCTGGAATGGGGCCTAAAAAAACACTAACTTCTGAAGCTGCTTCCCCCCCAAAGCAGACAGTTCCTCTTTTGTTCATATTAATGAACATTTAATGAACAAAACCTAAATTAACTTTCCAACTGTCCCAGCATCTACTCTAGTCAAGGTAAGCATTTTCTTTTTATAGTCTGAACTTCTCTTCTGAGTACCTGGACCACATGAACTTGAGACAAGCACAGAATGAGATCTCTTAAAACCCAGGAAACATTTTAAAAAGACACTGACGCAAGGTGCAATGTGCCACACTTACTGTTGCATAACTAGAATCAAAATCCAGTCTCCAACTCAGTGCTTCTGTTTGTCCAAGTGTTAACGTTGACTTGAACATTTGATGTTGAAGCTAGCTTCAAGATCCTAAGTCAATTACTAACAGCTCTCTACATCAAGGCAACTTAAATTAACATCATTCACCTTAATGTATTTGTGGCTATCATTCATTCTATTACTTAGGAAATATACTACTATGTAACCAATTTTAATAGATATCATTAATATCACTTCAAAACCAAAGGGAGCACAACAGGGTTATGAGTTGCTCTAAAGGAGGGTAGCTGCTCTTTGGGAATTAAGTTGAAGTTGTGTGAGCTGGAAGTAGACTGGATAACAAACTTCAAAGTGAAAGGTATGATTCTAAAAGGTCATCTAAAGGAAAGCGTTAACCAAAAGGTTAAGTAGTTTACTATATAGGTCGAAGAAACATATTCAAACAGACTTCATATTATATTTATGAATATAATATACAGAATAAGCTAAATTTCTACATTGAATAGTTCATAAATGGTCACATTTGGAAAAAAATGCATCTAGGATCAGGGAATACAATTTTTATAGTGCCACTCCAAATGACTATGTTTTTTAAGGTTGACAAAGCCGTAAGTACTACAAGTCATACCAAATAAATGCCAGTAAAAAAGCTTGTTATTACAACAAAACATTTTGTTTATGTAACACCCTCATGAAACCCTACAGGATTTAAATAGGCTAATTTCATTATCAATCCCTTACCTCGTAGCCAGACTGCCTCACGGACATGAAATTATTGATATTACAACAATTTCAGCAACAGTTTAAACATATCATACTTTACAACTTCCTGTGTTTGAACTAAAGATTTCCCTCAATATCACATGTCTTTCTAGTATTACAGTGACAACTAAATGCTTGCACATTATACAAATAACAGGAAATGAAAAGAAATGAATCTCTGTTGGTTAAATTATGAAAAGCCAAAATGCTCTCATGAAATAAGGATATGCTGATCAGGAGTATTCCTTGGTCAGCAATAACTTTATTCAAAAAACTACAGAAAACAGATACCAACAAAGTCAGAAGAAGCCTCTTTTCCTAACTTAACACTCATGAAAATTAAAAGCAAACCACCTACCAACAAGCAAGGATTTATGTCAGGATCTCTCAGTCTCCGTGCTACCACAGGCATCCTAGGACTCTTCTTGCTACAAGTAAATGTTGGGGAGAAAAGTTATGGATAACAGGAAATAAATCAATAAATCTCATTAGTCCCATAAGCTTAATCAATAAATTATTAACAAAACCAAGGAATACAGTGTGCACTCCAATAATTACTTGCTTATTACACACTCATCAACACAAAGATTAGTGTGAAATAATATAAGCCAACTTTAGCATAAACATTTATTAACCTAAGTACATGAATGCCTACTCTGGCCACAACTGGGATGGGCAAATATACTGAAAAATAAAGTTATTACTCAGTTGACATTTCAAGAAGTTGAATCCTTACTTCCAGCGGCATCTTCTATTTAACTGATACTTTACTGGGTTGAAGGAAGTCAGGTAATGCTACTGTGGTTCATTAATCTTTCAACTCAAACAGTTACAGTTACAGTCCTACAGAAGTCTTTATCGGTTAAAGATGATCAGCTTCCTAAAGGCAATAAATTATTTCAAGTCATCATATAATGGGTATGTTAACTATATCTCAAGACAATCATGTTCTTTAATGCAGTTCAACTGTAACTGGTATGCCTAATTTAGTCAAAGAAATGTCATAAAGAACTAAAATGGAATGTTAAACAAATAGTCAACTATTATTAACTCAGAGGGATTTTTTTCTGTTTGTTTCACTACATTGGTGTCCCAATGATGGACCACCCACAAATAGTTTTAAATGCTGTCCTCCCAAATTCGTCTATCAAATTACTGTAATAATTTTTCACGTAAAGGAGAAACCTGCAGATAATGTATTAGGACCTAAAAAACTTATCTGGCCACCAAATGAAAATCAGTCATCAGTCAGAATAACCCAACAGCGTAACTCAGTTTCTACTTTCCTGGCCTAAGGAAAACTGTAAAAAAAAAAAAAAAAAAATACATTCAGAATAAAACACCCTTAAGCTCTTGAAACGTAAAAGTATTCTCAATAGTCACCTAGTTCCATTTCTTCTAGAAACGTCTCAGAAAGATGTGGATATCCAGGCTAAAAGGAGATCAACCCTTGGCAAAGAGAGACAAAACAGTTTTGTCATTCTAGGGGCCCTTAATTTTTAGGGCCCCCTAAGTGATCCTTTCATTTTATGGTTTTCACTAAACAACATATGCTACAGAAACATCTAGTCAAGAAGTTTATATTTCAACTATATTTTGAAGATTCTTCCTCCCCTGAATACAATCCCTGTGCAGGTTTTACTTATTCCTAAAAGAGATGATACTAGGTAAACTCAGAGCCTTCATTACATCTAACCTAAGACCTGAGAAAAAAAACTCATGATGTGTGCCTCACATGAAAGTATTATATTGTGCATTTTATTATCAGGCAGGAATTGTTTAAAAATAACACTTCAGTAACAGATACATCGGAGTCAAGTTTGCAGCAGCAGTTTATTCATTTTTCATTTCCTTTTCCTTCGGGGTTCTAAATACAAGTCAATCTAAGTCTGAATTTCCCGAATATACCTGTGCATGAATCCCTGATGTATTAACTAGAGATGAAGGGGAGATATCAATTTATATAATAAGGAGAGGGGCTGAAGGGCAAGATCGAGTGCTCTGCTAGGCCTTATCTACTAACTGTCTGCAAATACTAAACATATCGCACGGTTATATGTTCAGAGCGTAACCAGGAAGAAAACCAAAGATCTGAGGGCCACAAAAGCACAACACACTTGAAGACTAACACTAAAGCCGTCTCCAAAAGCCAAACTGCTTATTTTAGAAAAGCGTTTCTTGATTTGCCATTTAGGTGTTCACATTCTAGTACTTCTGAAAGGTGATGGTGGGGAAGGAATGTCACTGAACACTTCCATGCCCGCTAGCAGGTCAGAGCCCAGGTTGGGTCAGTGAAGCTTATAAAAGGCAGGTGCGACTCTCTCGGGAAGCTGAGACACATCGTGCGAGAACCCAGAGCCCTAAACCCACTGCTGAGTGCACAAACAGGGTCAGCAAGTCACTGTAGCACACCGGAGGTGGGGTGAGGAGACAGTGGAGGTAAGAGGGCCAAGAGTCTGAGGCCTCACCGCCTTCCGCGATGCTGCCGGACTCCGTCCAAGGGCGGCCACGGGCGTAGGTGAACACACCTAGCTCCCACCTCCTCCAGCGCCGAGAGGAGTAAGGGGTGAGGAAGAGTCGCGAACCTGCGGGCAGAGGCAGGCGACTACGCTTAAAAACAGCTGGAAAGGCGAACCGGGGTGTCCGGGTCCCAACAGACCCAGTCCGTGCAGACCCCTGTCACTGGACCAAGAGCGACAGGAACGGGCCTGCGAAGCGATGAGGCCTCGTGGAAGCGGCTTAACGTCAAAGAAATGAATTCCGAAACTGCGCGGGCTCCCGGGCGCCCCGTTCTCCCTTGCCTGCAGTGCCGCGAAGAGAGGGCGGGGGACCACTCACCTCGGACAGCCACTTCGCCAGCACCCAGGCCGTCTCCAGCTCCAAACACGTCAAAGGCTCACGCAGCTGGGTCTTAAGTAGCGCGCACCCCAACTTGCTGCCCCCGCTCCCCGGCGGCCCTTAGACCAATCAGCGCACGTCGCCGCCAGACTGACAGCTGAACAGGGCCTTGAGCGGTGGGGGCGGGCGGGTCTCGCCCCGCCCCCAGCTGGAGGGAGGAGGGCAGAGGCGGGGGGAGTGGGCGGAGCGGTGAGCGGGATCCCGCCCTTCCCCCCGCCCCGCCGCGCCCCCCGCACCGCGCCTTCCTCTTAACACTTCGGATTGATGGACAGTAGAGCAAACCAATCATCGGAGCCATTCCCGGCGGCGGCGGCACCTAGTGGTCGGCCCCAGGGCGGAGCGCGCGCGGGAGGTGGGCTCAGCGGCGGGTGGGTCGGAGGCGG